ACTTAGTCTTTCCATTCGTTTTCTAACCGAGGCTGGAATCTGCGGCCTTATACATTAATCGGTTTCGTCCGATGATTAATCAGTGGCCGCCTCGAGGCGGCGGCGGCCTGGGTCTGGTATTCTGGATGCCACGCATCAAATCTTGACTTTTCCTTAATTTCAGCTGATATGGCTAAAGCTCCAACTTCCTTCTTTCAACCATTACTTTCGTGTGCTATATCGTTCCCCCAATTGTGGCGACTCCTCCATCTTTTATTTTTTATCTTCAAACTTTGACTGACCCCAACGGCCACGTTACCATCTTGAGAGATCAAGAACTGTTGACATGTTTTTCTGTTACTCCTTTGGGGCCTGGCATCGAACATTTCGCCTAGGTCAGAAACCTGAGCGAGCTGGTTGCTCTCTCCGCACGTGCTCCCGGTTGAGCTGGCCACCGTGCTTAGTTTTCAGTTTCAGTTTATACAACCATTAAACATGCACTATCGTGCGCCAGTTTTGGTTGCTGTCTTCTAGTCACCCATTTGAATGAAAATTAGGAGAAAGACAGGAAAGGTTGAAAGTAAGGTCCAAGGGAAAATCCAGAATATCAGTGGGCTAACGTTGCACAGAAATTGACAGGATGCAAGAACGCCACTGTTTACGATACGCAGCCATATCACTCAGTGCTCCCTCTCAATCTACTTCTCACTTTGGTCCCTTTATTCTCATGTATCCATACTCTCCCTCCACTTTGTTCATCGATTCACTGCGCTTTTACCTCCTATTACACATTGCATTCTCTATTTGTCTGTTCTATTATGTTTACTAGTCCCGATCCATCACCCACATTGAAAAACATTTTCAGTGCTGTGACTCAGGGAACTGAACTGGTCTTCTTATCCCTGGAAGGATCGTTGTTTCACTTCGGATGCATCTAAATGTGTTTCAACTTCACTTCGTTCTTCAAGATATGCATATTTTTATTCAGCACTTCTCCAAACCCGACATACCGAAAGATGCATGTGACCGTGCTGTACGCCTAAAATGCTCAGCTTTCCTCCGCTGGCGTCACTCACCCAATCTCGTATCCCGTCATCGCTCCGAGCAAGCTAGGAATAGCTGCTCGGTAGAGTGTATCCCTTTATTTTGGGGTGAATCGTGGATCGTTTCGATCCTCCAGGAGGGATTTTGCAACTACTGCACAAACCACCGTTATCACAAGAATGTTAACTAGCGTGACACTTCGCCGCATGACATCCTTGAAGCGAAATATTTATTCGTGAACAACAGGCAGAATTCCGACCAGGTCGTGGCTGCATTGAGCGAACCTTCACCCTGTGTTAAGTTATTGAATTACGCCACGCACATCGTCTACCATCAGTTGCAGTGTTCCTTGGTTTAAAAGTAACACTCGATTCAGGTAACCTAATGGGTTCGCTGCTTTGCAAAAGAATGCCGCAGAGGTAAGCTATCCTATTGTAGTCACTTTCTGCGTACTTCTGGCAGCTTAAGGGTATACGATGGGCTATGCACATTGTTCGAAACCAAGAGCGGTGTTCTTCAAGGGTGCCCTGTTTCGCCATTCCTCTTCAGTTTTGTTGTATAGGTAATGCTGGAAAATGCTCCGTGGTCTCCAAAATGTTAGTATTAAATGGGAAGTTGGAGAAAAGGCGTGCGATTTACAGTACGCTAACGATATCGTGTGTCTTCCTGAATGTGAAGAGGATACTCAAAGCGCTCTTGGCATAATCTAAAATTCTGTAACTCCATTTGGTATGCGCTTTCAAAGTGATGTTGCAAGGCTGGGTGTCACTGAATCCTGTTCTTAAACTAGGTGGTCAGAAATTAGCTGGAGTTGACTGCTCGTACTTGAATAGTTGCATGACCGACAACAGCAGTGCATCAAAGAAGATAACCGCACGCATTTCCAATGCTCAAGCAGCGTACACAGAACCAAATCACCTGTGGCAGGGACGACGTTTCACTGAAGTTGAAGAGTCGCGCATACTGCGCCATTGTACGATCAGTTCTGTTTTACGACTGTGAGATCGTGAATTTGCGAATGAAAGACGTCCATCACTTACAGGTTTTCGACAATCGATGTACACGTAGTCCGGTCCAAGTAGGTTGGAGTAATCGAGTTAGTAACATGGAGGTGTGTTTGGGACTGCATGGGGCAAGCACTCACCATCACATGAAATTGAGCTCAATGGGCTCCGCTGTTTAAGACACGTTTTGCTTATGTTGAACGGTCGCCTACCGCACCGCGCCTTATTTTCAGCTGCCACTCCAGACCTGAGAAAACCAAGTGGTGGTCAGCAGATGACGTATTTTGTATTTTTTTATTACACTTTCGTGTGATGAACAGCAAAGGGGGCGAACCCCATGGTCACGAGGACCCGCTGTTCATAACTTGTGTAAGTTTATATGCTTACATTTCAGACGTGGAGATGAAGCATGAAAAAATGCGCAGAGCAATTAATGTCTGTCTTTTTCTAGGTTGGGGTCAAAGAGACTCCGTTACTTCATGTTTGGAGACACTAAAGGTCTTGACAACAAACGGGCAGCAGTGGCTTTCTTCTCGTTTCTTATCAGATCCGGTTATATTCTCAGATGTTGGCTTTTCGTCTTACAACCCAAGACACCCATGAATAACGATACAGAGGATTTCAGAGGCACAGTCATATAAGCCTCTTCTTTATCACGACGAATCTGTTCTACTAGAGATGATAGAAATCTGTTGGTACGACTGTATGAAGTCTCAACCGGACAACACAGATAAAAAGCAAGACTTAGGGTAATGAGAACGGTGCTAACAACTGAACGAGTCATCTGTACTGGGAAATCGGCAGAATAGAGTGATTTTATGTCTAACTATTTTATCAAGGGAGAAATTTCCTATGTTTCTGGAGGTAAGGTGTAGTGATGACGATATTTACCATACTTTTCTGAGTGTAAATATTACACTCGACTGAGAGACCGGTAGAGTCTCCAGTCAGATGGAGATATCTGCAAGGTCTACAATACCTAGTGTCAAAATGATTGGAATCACTGGCAGTGGTGCAAAAAGACTGACCTCAACCTGTCGCAAACGGTGTGTAGAAATAATCAACCCAAAAACCGCTATCAGAATCCGGCGTCTCAGGAGAAGTGTAGATGTTATCAGTTTCGAGAAAATGCTTGAAAACTCTGGCACTGCCGAAAAGAAGGAAGTTTCTCGATGTCCTTGCATCCTCACCGAAATCCTTTATTGGAACCACCTTGTCATAGTTTTTTTCACGATGTATCGTATGCACTAATTTTTCGAAAGCCTTCGTTTCCCTCACACTTGTCTGAGGACAGACTGTGTGCCAAACAAATCATGGTACAATAATCTTTATAAAAAGAAAAATGTTCCATTATTGGCTTGTAGGCTGAGTACTGCCAGGTTGCCCAGGCCAAGGCAGGTGAATTTTCTTGAGGAATCCACAACCGGAGCCTTCGGCTAGCCAAAGCCTGACCCGCAAGGCAGCGGGGCGGTGTGCGAAAACCGCAGTCCATTGGGAGCCGGTGTCCAGTTCATCGGATCATACGCCCTTCGGACGGGGTCAGACGTCCAAGGTGCCCAATACACCTCAATGCCCAATCGAACCGGTGACCACTGCCACAACCGAAAGGTGTGGGTGTGGTTCGTACGTCTCCTCATGGTTGGTTTGGAATCAGGGCTTTTGGCCAACTCCCCTAGGTGAACTACCAGTTGTCCACCAACCCGGCTATAGCCCCGGATATCGGCTTTTCGTCCTCTCACTTTGGTGGGAAAACACCTTCGCTGCGAGAAGGCAGTGAGTAGGGCTTCCTCAGTAGAGGCTGTTTGAGACGCTTGGTCGTATGGGGGCATTTCGTGAGGTGCAAGGGCAGGGTGACCAGCCGCGACCCTAGACACCCACCCCCAACCATACTGAGGCCTTGGGAGGCCCTCAAGTCGCAGGTGCTTTAGATCCAGGTTTCAGCCGCTCAGAGGATTCCTCTATTGATGCGCAGGTTTATATCACCAGGAATCTGTTTTCTTACACGGTGAAGAATGATTGTGCGTAAAGATCGGTATGTATTGTGATTCGATCTGTCTTGATTATTGTGTTGGATCACAAGACGAAGTAATGCGAACCGTGGTACTGTTTCTGTTTGATCATCCTCAATCTGGACAGGGTACGCTGGGCGATGTAACATCAAGAAAATTGAGGTTTTTGGCTATATTATATCCAGTTCGATGCATTTGATAAAGCTTATAGGTGCGACTGGATACCACTTAGATAGATTAGGGGCATATTCGAGGATGCTGATGTAATCCGCTTGTTTCAGGTTCGAAATATACGTGTCAGGACTTAGCTATGTTCCATACAAACTGTTGAATGCAGTTCATATGACCCAGTCAATGATGTCACTGAAAAGCACTGATGAAAGTAGGCAGCCCTGATGAATTTTTGGAATTGGCTTGAATTTTGTTCACTCTTTGCCATAGGTGGAGCCACTCACTAATACCGGAGTTTTTTTAAACCCATGACCTCTATTATCTCTGCTCACCATGATACGCCACGCCAAAGCAAATTACATAAACACGTATTCCCCCTTATAAAGTCTACTACTCGGTCATGAAGATTCCCGGGATGAAGTAATCAATTGTTCTGGCAACAGCCGTTTTTTGAGTCTACAGTAGATCTGGTGCAATGAACCACAAATTAGAAGGTTTGGGTGACATGCGCTGGTTTTTAAATTTCAACTGTGAAGAAAACCTACATTAAATTTTTCTGTTCTACGATGCATTGGGTTTTCTGTCGTGACGTTCAGACTTTTCACAAGGCTTTTTAGTTTACATGTCAAACCACATAGTGCATGAATAACAAGTTATGATGGGACTTCGAGCCATTGTTATATTGAATTTTCAATATCAGGGTCATCTTAAACTGTGTATCGCACGTTGTCATCGTTTTCAGCCGCTTCATCTGTTTTAGGTTGTTCGCTAAGAAAATAAAACCATTTGAAAAATGCGCTTCTTTCGCCTGGGGGAAGTCAGGCCACCGACTGACGATGATTTCATGTACTTCAAGGAAATGGCACAAGATGAATCACACTGGAAGAAAAGTCACAGCCGAAAGAAAATTAAAGTTTATACCCGAGTTACAGAGGGATCAAGCCTCAAAATGATTAAAGTGCTAAAATGTCATTGATGATAATGTTTCCTTTTGCATCGTAGGTGATCGCAAATCTCAATGACGTGTCAGCAGATGTCTTATATGATACATTACATGATCCTATATACCGCGAGAAGTGGGATGGTACCATGAAAGAGGGCTACGAAATTTGTCGTGTCGCCCAGGACAGCATAATTGAATATTATGGACGTGAGTGAGTTCATTCATCTGAGATTGCGTACATTGTTTTGCAGTCAAGGCACCGTTCACTTTTAAGAACCGAGATTTTGTGCTGCACAGATCCTGGCGGGTCTACGGTTCGGAGTACATCATTTTCAACAGATCAGTGTTTCATAAGGTAGGTTACCTATCACCTAGCATTTAACTTTTCCCACAGAAAGTTCCACCCAAACCGGAGTATATTCGTGCCCTGACCCATTTGACAGGATATGTGATTACCAGTACTGGCCCTTCCTCTTGTGAAATGATTTACATCACTCAGAATGATCCCAGAGGTTAGTATGCCAGTTCAATTTAGTCTTGTTTACTGTGATGTTGTTTGACCCCTACTGCACAGTAAAGATTTTACCACTTCTTCAATTTTTTGAGCTTTTTTGTTATTTCTTGTTTGCTTCCGGTTCCCCTCTGGTGCATATTTATTACCTACAGATTTTAGAACTTACCCACTCACTCAATCCGACGCTAATTTCTAATCAACTTTTCTAACTGAAGTAGAATACAACAATAATTAAATTGCTGATATGTTTTTGGAACCCCCTAGCGAAGCTGCTTGGCAACCGAAAGTTCCATATATACATATGTGTTTCCGCAAAGAAAATGTAAAACGTACAGTTGTAGTTGTCGCAACGTTCGTGTTCAATGCCTATTCTTCCGGGTGCTTTTCCACACTTTGCGTGTTGCAATGCAGTTGGGCATAGGTCATACCAACCAGTTTGATTTTGGTCCATATATTCTGATGCAGTATCGTCAGCTATAAGCTATTTGAATTTTTTGTCTCAACCTTGCACGCAGGACAGAGTAATGGTTGTTTGTTTGATGTAGAGTAAAGAGCACTTCTAAAATCTTAGATTTTTATCATTTACTTTTATCATAATTTGTTGTATGTATATATTATATATCTTAGTCCAGATTGCAGGCCAAACAAATCACGGCACATTCTTTTTAACAAAGAAATCCATACATCATTTGCTAGTTTACTGATCGGTTTACAAAGCCAAAGCCCGTAAATCCTCTTCGGGAATTCTAAACTGGAGCATTCGTATAGTTCGTGTCACAAGGCAGCGATTAGTGTATGAAAACCGCACATAACTGAAGACTGGGGCTTAGTTCATCTCATCATACACGTTCATGACGGGGGCAAACGTCTCAGGTTCCGTCAGTTCAGCTTCTACAACCATTATTCACGCACTTCCTTGCGACGGTTTTCCTTGCTGTCTTTCCACTGCCCATTGGGACGAAGTG